ATTTTAAAATTAAAAATATGTAATAATTACATTAGAAACCATTTTTGCCATGTAAGTGTTTCAAAATTCTCAGAATTAAAAGGTAAAATCGAATGAGAATAATTATCATTCCCGTCTGTTTTTTCTTTTTAATTCTGCTGATAATTTTGAAACGCTATGTATTTTCAAATTTTCTATTCTCTTGAATTTATCTCCGTATTTTTTTGTGTAATTATTTTGACTTTTTATTATTCATCCATTATTGCAGATTTTAAAAACGAAAATTAATATCAATTGTTCTTTTTTACTTTACTTTACAAAAACAAATTCTAAACAAAATATCTTGAACTAGTCCAGGCTGAAATGGTGCAAGGGTCTCCGTCTACTCCAAAACTGTGATATAGAAAAATAATTTATTTATGTTATGGAAAATAATTTTTTATTCAATCTTTAAAAAATAAACTTCATTGTTTTTTTGGTTTGTTACCAGCATAAAAAAAGTAAATGACTTTAAATGAAGTTTTATTAAAGCAAAAACTATAGCAAGCCTTATTTTTTTGAAAATTAATTTAAATAAAATACAGTTAAATTCGGAAAACAAATATTCAACAGAACTAATGTTGCTCGTAACTCATGTCTATCTCATAATTTTTATTTAACTAAAGTTCTTTTTTTCTTTGCAAAAACAAATATAATTTGAATTTGACTGGATGAGTTATCATTAACTTGCACACTTCCCTCATCAATTGTTACACACAAAAAACATATATATGTATATATGTGGCATATTATATATAGAAATTATTATTATTATTATTATTATGTTTTACCTTTGTTTTGAGTCATAAAATTTGTCCCTGTTGGAGTGTATCAGCTAAGGAAAGAGGCTTAGATGCAAATTGCAACAGTAACAATATTTATTATTATTCTTTCTTTTTATGTGCCATGTCATTTCAGGACAGAAGCGATCAAGGCTCTCCACCTCCCTCTATCCTTTGCAGTTCTCAATAAGTTCCTTCCCTCTGCTAACTCCCCACATTCTGCCATCCACCTGCTCAAGCCCACCAGGAATATCATGTGCTACTTTCCCTTGTCTCTGTTTCTCACTGTTCAACCTGTGAGTATCAGATTCTCTAGGCACCCTTTCCTTATTATGTGTCCCAGAAACTTCAGCTGCCTCTTCCTGATGTTAAGCATAAGCCTTCTCCTTGTTTATATCCTCTTTAAACCTCATTGTTGCTCACTCACTTGGACCATGATATCCTTAGCATCCTTCTGTAGAACCACATCTCTGTCGCCTTGAGTCTCTTCTTCATCCTTGAGGAAATCATCCAGCCTTAGCTGCCATAAAGAAGGACAGATGTCACATAACAGCTCAGTATTCCTTTCTTCATTACCAAAGAAATTTTCCTGTCTTGCAATACTCTGTCCAGCTTTTGGAATGTGTCCTTGGCCATCCCAATATGTCTACAGATCTCAGTGTTGCACTTACCGTCCTCTCTCAAAACGATTCCCAGATATTTAAACTTCTGCGTCTACTTGATTCTAGTGTTCCTGACCTGCAAATCACATTTCAGGCTCATTCTCTTACTGATTACCATGCATTCTGTCTTCTTGCAGTTTATGCTTAGTCCCTTCTTCTCACTATCTGTTGCTACCTTCTGTAGATTTTGTAGTTTCTTTTCTGTTTCTGCTATCAATTCTGTATCATCTGCTTATCTTATGGTGTTGAGATTATGATTGCCGACGCTAAATCCCAGTACGGTTTCCAATTCTCTCAGAATTGCCTTGCTGTATAGGTTGAACAGGTCAGGTGAGAAGATGCATCTTTGCCTTACGCCCATTTCTATTTTTGTATATTCACTGAACTTGTTCCCTATGCATGTGCATGCTGTTTGCTGCCAGTATAGGTTCTTGATTACAAATATATCAAGGTTGCTGAGCAGTTCCAGCAAGCCCTTGTGGTATACTTTGTTGAAAGCCTTTGTGTAGTCTATAAAACATAGGTACACATCCTTCTGCATTTGAAGCTAATACAGACATTGTTCTCACCTACATATAATGTTTAGTGTGACTTAACAAAAGTTATTCGTTGTCAACACAGATAACTGGTATCCACTTCTTCAGATTGGTCTGCGGTTTGCTTTCTATGGAGTTAATCCTTTCACCATGGAACAGGCCCCAGGTCCTTGTGAGAAAGTCTGTCCTAGATGCCAGTCCATGTCTGTCTAATCCTTGATATCTGTCACGTGGTTTTCTACTTCTATGTAGGGGTGGGGAGATAACCTTTTTCACTAACTAAAGATTTCAAGAGGCAAGAAGTTTTTTGTATTGAAAGATGCAAACAGATGAGATGCATGCAATCAGATAGAGAAAAAAAATGTAAATGCAATCATTGCATGGAGTGAAATCTACACAAGATGTAAAAAGTAACAATAAATGTGATTTCTTTTACATTCATATATTTTAAGGCTACTAGGAATTTGTTGTACATATTTTCATATAATTCCCAAAGCCCCAATAACAATGCCTAATGTTGCTTTCTTGCCACATTCTACTGATTTCTATCTCAAGATTTTTGTATTTTCTCAAATGAGGCTGCAACATCTATCAAAAGACATGTATTTTCAACATGATTTTTCACAATTATATCTAGTCAATTTTATTGGATTTCCCTATCAGACTGAACATTGAAATTTCAGAGGATGGTAACTTCTTCATTCTATACAACTTGTGGTATCTTATATTCCTATATATTATGAGGAGGTTGACCAATGTTTGGCATACTGACCAAAGTATGTACTGAGCAGTATTATTATCATTATTATTATTATTAGTAGTAGTATTGGCTTACTGTCACATCATGTTGAAACACAAGTTCCTATACGATCACTGAAGTTAAGCAATGTTAAGCCTGGTCAGTACCTAGATGGTTGACTGCTAGGGGATACTAGGTGCTAGAAGCTTGATGTAATGAATAATGGCTTGGAATTGCTAATCAGAGAGCCAAGTTCACATCCCTGTTGATTTTGTTACATTCATTTATGTGCAAATACCTTTAGGAAAAGTATGAATCCACCTCTTCTCTCCAGCTATGGATTAATTAGTAAAAAATAACTTGTATCTATAAATCATTATTATCCCCACTCAAAAAAAATTCTTACAATCTAAAAAATATTTTCTGGCTGCAAAGGGTAGATAAGCCACAGAAAATTAAACTATTAATCAATCAATATTAGTATTAGTAGTTTATTCTGTATTATAAAATGCATAAAACATATAAATATAATGTTGGCCTTATATACTTATTGGTTACACAGTCTGATCTTCCCTACTAATTATATATTCATTGTTATGGTAACAGAAGTCATTACATGAGACCAGTAACTGAACATGCCATTTGTTACAATATCAATAAATATGTAATAAGATCCATCAATTTTTATTTACTTTTTTATGTTAGCTTCCACAGGATATTCTTGCTTTAAAACATTTAAAATCAAAATTCTTAAATACATGAGGCAATAGGATTAAATTTATGGATTAAAATTGTAGATTACTCACACAAAGAATCAAAGGAATGAAATTACTAAATTACTTAAATATGGCTGTCATTTTATGATGGTGTGCAGAAACTACATAATAATAATTAACAAATCTCTATCTATGAAATTAATATCTTTATTTTTCTTACTTTTATATTTACTAAAATTTACCCAATACAAGGCTCAAGAGTCACTCAAGGTAGAGGGTTACTGAATGATGTTGTTGTATGAACATAAGAGGATTGATTGAGTGATTTGTTTTTATGGATTATTAATTTGGAGACATGGTGGGGTAATGTATAGCAGCTCAGATTGAGGAATTGGAGAGCTGAGCTCGAATTCCAGTCGAATCCATTACATTCGCTTATGTGCTAATATCCTTGGGAAAGGTATGAATCCTCTTCTTCTCCCTCTCCCAAGCTATGGGTAAATGGCAACACAGACCAGGTTCTATAGCCTTGGATGACAACTGGTCTATCTGCCTCATCAGTCATGTATCAAAAGATACATGATCACCTATGCGCGTATCATGCATGGCACATAACTGACTGAATCTTTTGCAGGTTGTTTAAAGTCAGAAAATATTTTTAGATTATAAGAATGATTTATTGATACAAGTCCTACTAATTAACCCATAGCTGGGAGGAGAAGTGGATTCATACCTTTCTCAAGAGTAATTGTGTGTAAATGAATATAACAAATCCAACTTAAATTGGACTCGGTTCTTTGGTTAACAATTTCGAGCCATTATTTGGAGTAGTGTGGAATGTTAACATCTTGATTATATCATTATTTTCTCTTCATGTTACATGTGCTATCATTTTAGTTGCTGCTGCTGTTGGTAGTCCTCAAGTGATGTAGTTTCTGCTATTTGGTATAATTCTTTGTCATTGGTGGAATGTTGCTAGCTTGATATTAGGAGCATTGAAATGACTGAATATATTTCCTATTTTTTTTAGTCATATCTCTCTTTTTCCCTCAATAAATAAGTGAATACTTTAATATTTATTATATGTGGTTATTTCAGATTTTACAAGGATATTAATATATTGACTTTGATAAAGATATGATGTTGAAGAGTGGGCTATAGTCTAACCTGCTTTTTCACTGGTTTAAACTTGAACCGATGCTGTTTAACACAGCAAGAGTTGTTAGAAAATCCTAACTTTTATCCAATAAGTAATGACACTCAACCTGATATTTTTTTCGCCTCTCTTGGGTTTGTTTGCGTTTGACAAAATGGCACCACCAAAAAAGAAAAAAAAAAGTTCAGGATAGGCCATGAAGGCCTCTGGGAAATCAGTTAATGAATGATGTCGAGTGATTTCTGCAGAATAATACAACTGACTATTTTGTAATGCCTTTCTTCACAAAAGATCACTTTATCAGTTACATTATTTCTGATCTATTCACTAAAATATAGATCCTGTGCATGAAGATAAGCAATTTAATTTGTATTGTCCAGAGAAACTGGGCTTACAGCCATATCAAATCGAAACACTGTTTCTCATATGATCACCAAAGTTAAGTAATGTCAAGCCTGGTCAGTACCTAAATGGGAGACTGCTTGGGAATACAAGGTGCAGTAAACTTTGATGTGTAGGTGGTATGGCTTCTAACCATATTACACTGAAACTCAGGTTCTCATATAATCACTGAAGTTAAGCAATGTCAAGCATAGTCAGTACCTAGATGGGAGACTGTTGGTTTTGGTTTGGATTATTTTGTTTTACGACATATCAACCACAATGGGTTATTTAATGCCAACAAGATATTTAGGATAGTTTCATATGAATAGAATATGTATTCTTTGTAAGAAATCAGTTTGTAGATCAGGTTTCATTGATGTATTTTTTTAAGTTGTTTTTTGTTGATAGTCAAATATCTTGCTGATAATATTTTTCTTTTAAAAATGTATTTCTAGTAATTTCTTTCAGAAATGTATTGCTAGCATTTTTACTATAAAAAAAACAAACTATTTTTACACTTTCATTGTGTTTTGAATGAACCTTAAAACAACAGCAATTAAGTGGTTGTTTCATGCTCCTCAAAACCTCCTGATCAGAGGCCTTGCTGCCAGATGTAGTTTATCATCATACCCAGGACGTGAGACTGCTTGGGAATACAAAGTGCAGTAAACTTGGGTGTGTAGGTGGTATAGTTTATAGCCATATCTCATTGAAACACCTGTTCTTGTATGATCACTGAAGTTAAGCAACATTGTGCCTGATCAGTATATAGATGGGTGAATGTTTGGAACCAACCAACCATAGATGATGGACAGTGATAATTATTTTGGTCTTTTTCTCTTTAAAGTATGTGATTCTACAGAAGTATGCAGAGAATACAATGGATGTTTAATTTTAAGGAAAATCAAAACAAAAAGGATACTTGCGCCTAAAATCAGAATCATATCGTTGAAATTTCTGGGAGAGGGCTTAAAGAATTTGACATTAAAAAGGTAAATAAAAGCAAGAGAGGCAAATTGAAAACAAGAGCAGTAAATTGAAGGCAAGAGGGGCAAATGAAGACAAGAAGGGCAAATGATGGCAAGAGAGGCAAATTTAAGGCAAGAGGGGCAAATGAAAGCAAGAGGGGTAAATGAAGGCAAGAGGGGCAAATGAAGACAAGAAGGGCAAATTTAAAAAGGGTCAAATGAAGGCAAGAAGGGCAAATGAAGGCAAGAGGTGCAAAGTGAAGGCAAGAGGGGCAAATGGTAACATTGAATTATCTAATGAGCTTGTAGCAGAATACATACTGGGAGTGATAGTAAAGAGAATAACATTGTTTAAAATACAAAAGATAGGAAGCCCTGGAAAATCATGTTCTAAAGAGTTATAAATGAAAAAGATATTCTTTTTATTGGTTCTAATTTTATATAAATTTTTTGTATCATATTTTATATTGATATTTTGTGTCATAAAATCACCTATGGTTACACATGTCATATTCTTGTCACACTCAGAAGCATTTAAAAGAAACTAAACTTTATAATATATCACCTTTGTAATGTGATTATCTAAAATGTTTTGGGAAAAGGTTAGCTATTTTTTTTTAGAGTTTGTTAAAAACCAAAAAAATGTTGATATTTTTCTTTTATTATCTATATTTGCTGATCAAAGTCCCATTTGAGCATGAAGTCAACTTACCTAATTAATTATCAATTTTTGATTCAGTCATAAATAACTGCTGTTTTTGTTTATCAACTTTATTCTTATAAAAATAAAGTACAATGCATTTTATTCAATTATATATTCACCATTATTTGGTATGACTTGCTGCCACTCCTCTGAATATATAGTTTGTGGAAAGTGTGACACTGAAATTTGAAGGCACATTGGGATAATGAAAGATGCCTTCCAAAAGCTAAGCAAAGGATTAAGAAACAGGAAAATTTTTATTAGAAACAAAGAAAAAAAGGACTGAACTGTTATGTAATATCAGTCCTCCTATATGGTAGTAAATGCTGGACAATCTCCTCAAAGATGAAGAAGGAACTTGAAGCAACAGAAATGTGTTTCTACAGAAGTATGCTGAGAATACCATGGACTGAACATGTGAGCTACAGTAGTTAGCCTACAAATAAATCAGTGGAAGGCTAAAATTATGTCTTAAATCTTGTGGAACCTTGTAACTTGTGTTGACGATATTATCATCAAAATGCATTTATTTTCATGTTAAAAGAGTACTGAACTGTTATATAATATCAGGCCTCCTCCTATAGTGAATGCTGAAGAAGAGATCTGAAGCAATAGAAATGTGGATCTACAGAAGGATGCTGAGAATGCCATGGACCAAACATGTGAACAGCAATATAGTTTTAGAGAAAATGGAAACAAAAGGATACTTATACTTAACATCAGGAAGACATACTTGAAATTTTTGGGATATATAATGAGGAAAGGGGGCTTGGAAAATTTGATACTCACAGGACAGATTTATTGCAAGAGGGATTGAGGAAAACAATGAATAAGCTACATAGAGAGCTTGAGTAAATAGATTTTAAAACCAGGTTTAGGAGGGATAACAAAAAGTCAGAATTTATTAAGAGCTAAAAAGAGCAGGAAATTGTGGAGAGCCATGATTGCCAACATCCTGAAGCGACACAGCACATAGAAGGAGAAGAAGTGGAAGAAAAAGAAGAAAAACAAAGAGGAGGAGAAGATGAAGAAGAAGAAAAAGGTTTTACATTAAATGGATATGAATATAAACAATACTTTTATCATGACAGGAGAGAATGAGAAAAAGCATTAAGGCTATGTTATGTTAACAAAAAGGTAATCCTCTTATTTTAAGGATATTTAAATGTACAGAGAAACCTCTAATCTATGGACCCCCGTCAATGGACTTCAGATGCAATGAACAAAATCTGCCAGGAAAATAAAAAAAAAATCTGCAGGAAAAAAACTTCCAAATTGTCAGTAATGTATTTCAAAATTTTCAGGCTTAGCTGAATGAATCGTATTGCTTCTCAAAGTGACCACTTGGCAGTGGCAGTGCAGCCCTTTCAATTATAAACAAAGACAGGTGTACAGTATATAAAGTATGATACATTAGTGTGAGTGTGAGAAAGTAGCTGTGAGAAATCTATTATTTTGATTAATATATTAATTGTTGTGCCCTTATCATAGCATCAAAACAGAAGGAAAGTGTAAAAAGGAAGCATAGTATCAGAGAAGCCATGAAGTTTCATGGCTTCTCTGACTCAGAATAATAAACCAATAAGAGTCTCCACTATATGATCACTGCAGAAAAAAAACAAACTCCATTTTCCATTATATACACAAGGTCAATAAACTTTAACAAGTTGTAGTGTACATTTTAATATTTATTATAAATGTTATTGTATTTTTTAACTGTATATATTAATATTATTCTCTTTGAGAGAGAGTGCTATTGATGCTATTCTTTGTGTGTCATGCTGTATTTTTTATTACTGTATATATAGTATATACACAGTATACTGTATATAATATATAATACAGCATACATATACTCTATATAAATATATATAGTGTATACATATATGTGTGTATGTGTGTATACTGTATATATATATATATATATATATATGCATATATGATTATGGTATGCTGTATATATACAGTACAGTATATATTTATTTATGTCATATATACATGTTTATAGTATTTACATTATGATCACAACTACTGGTAGTTACTATAGCGTATTTATAACTCAAAAATAATCCATTCCCATTTTAGAGACAATCGGCTTTAACGGACCCCCCTCCCTGTCTATACTGCTACCCCTTTTCTATTCTGAAGTAAATGGAAATATAAATGCATTCTTATCTATAAAAAGCAATGAGGATGAAGTGGAACAAGGCCAAGTTTATATCAAGAATGCATACACATACATGTGGGTAGAGACAAAAATTCTCCGATTTGCATGGCACTTCCTTTTAGGACATCTTGGATGACCCCTGATCCTCTTTGAGTGCCATAAGAAGATGCTGCCTAGGAGAGGTCTTAAGGTAAATAAAAACAAAAATATTGCTTAAAATTAAAATCAGGAAGAAATAGTTGGACACATAATGAGTAAAGAGGGCTTGGAGAATTTGATACTCACAGGACCTACTGAAAGCAAAAAGGCCAAGAAAGCAGTGAATAACCTACTTCATAAGTTTATGCAAATGGTTAGCAGAACAGAGAATAGGAGGGATAATAAAAAGTCAAACCTTACCAAGAGCTATAAAGGAAAGGAAGTTATGGAGAGCAATGATTTTTCATGTCCTGAAGGGACATGGTACATAGAAGAAGTATTGTTAATAGTAAGGAGAGTCCTCTTGAATTCAACTCTTGCATGCATCACAAAGTGTGACTAAGAGAAAGCTGAAACTTTTCAAGGAAACTTGATTTACACATCAGAGCTCTCTACTCATAATAAGATTTAAAGAGAAAGTGTGCAAAAAGTGGATTGGGCCTTAAATATAAAAAAGTGAACATAAAATAAAGTAAGAAAGTTGCTGATAAAACAGGTGTAGAAGCAAGCATATCACGTTATCTTATATAATGTTTTCTAACCAATCTCCAGTAGTTTTAAAGACTTTAAAAACCTTTCATCTTATCCAGCTAAAATCTATAAAAGACTTGGCAACTGGAAACTGAGATGACAAGCACAGTTCTTGCAAGCATAATTCTATGGCAAACCAAACTTCTCTTTCCTTCATCTATTTCTAACAAGCATCAATCTGTTATTCTGGTCCTTATGATATCTCCTGTGTCACAAGTGATTTTTTAGTGGAGAACAAGTCTATCAGTAAAATATAGAATTAACTGTATCATACAAAGTATTGTTGGTACTTCAATGTGATGTAATGGCTAGGAAGCTTATCTTGCTGGATCAATTATGACTGAGTAATAAATTTGATCCTCACTGGGTGCTCCAAACTTTCAGCCTTGTGCCACATCTAGGCTATGATTAATAAATCGTATTGTCTTCCTAGATCAATTAAGACTTATTAGTAAGTTTGATCCTCACTGGGTGCTCCACACTTTCGGCCTTGTACCACATCTAAGCTATGCTTAGAAAATCATTTTGGGCACCTCGACATGGTGTAATGGT